CAAAGATGTTGCTCCTTTACTGTCTTCTTGCTTTCATTGTTTTCAACAAGAAATCTCTATTATTCTAATTTTTTTCTTCTTTATGTAATATGTCCTTTTTTCTTTTCTTTCTTTTTTCTTTCTTTCTTTTCTTTTTTTTTTTTTTGGCTTCTTTAAGATTTTCTTTAAACCATTATTGTTAAGTAATTTGATGATGAAACACCTGAGTATAGTTTTCTTCATGTTTCTTATGCTTGGGTTTGTGGGGCTTCCTGGATCTATGGATTTATAGTTTTCTTTATATTTGGAAAATATCAACTATTGTTTCTTTAAATATTTCCTTCTATGCCTCTACTCGACATACTAAGTATTTCCTTTACCTTCTTGACCGTATTGAATATAGTTACAATAACTGTTCTAATGCCCTTCTCTACTAATTCTGTTATATGTATCATTTTGAGGTCTTTTCCAATTGATTGTTTTTTTTCTTTTTCATTTTTTCTTTTCTTTTTATTTATTTTGGGGGGTTGGGCTGGCAGAAGAAGAAGCAGAGAGACAATCTTAAATAGACTCCATGCCCAGTGCAGAGCCCAATGTGGGGCTTGATCTCACAACCCTGAGATCATGACGTGAGCCGAAATCAAGAGTTGGATGCTTAACCAACTGAGCCACCCAGGCGTCCCTCCAATTGATTGATTTTTATTCTCATTATAGGTCATCTTTTCCTGCTTCTCTGCATGCCTGGTAATTTTTTATTACATTTTTGACATTTTGAATTTGACTTTCTTGGGTGCTGGATATTTTCGTATCTCTAAAAAATATTTTTTGAGCTGTGTTCTGTGATATTGTTAAATTGTTTAGGTAGTTTTTTCCTTTTGATATTTGCTTTTAAGCCTTGTCAGGTGATCAGAGCTGCATTTCATCTAGAGCTAATGTTTCTTCACCACTAAGTAATAGCCTTCTGAGTATTGTACTTGATACTCTGTTAGTTAAAGAATTTAAAGTAGGGGCACCTGGGTGGCTCAGTCATTGGGCGTCTGCCTTTGGCTCAGGTCATGGTCCCGGGGTCCTGGGATCAAGCCCCACATCAGGCTCACTGCTAGACAGGAAACCTGCTTCTCTCTCTCCCAATCCCCCTGCTTGTGTTCCCTTTCTCACTGTGTCTCTCTCTCTGTCAAACAAATAAATAAAATCTTTTTAAAAAGAAAGAATTCAAATTAAAAAATAATTGCCCACTTTCACTAGTTTGTGGGAATACCAACTGTTGCTGGCACTGTGTGGTCACCATTCTAATCTTTTTGGGTTGCTTTTTTCTTCAGCCTTGGGTAGTTTTCTCACATGTGTGTACTGGTCAGTGTGTAGCTGATGACTCAAGGGGAACCTTTTACAGATCTTCAGAGTTCTCTCTTGCTGTCTTTCTCTCTTTCTGTGCAGCTCCCTCCTCTCCAGTACTCTGTCTGACAAACTACACACCTCGGCCTCCCTGGGCTCCCCGATCCATCTCTTTAACTCAGAAAGACAATCAGGCTCTGTCCAGGTCCTGCAAGCTTTCTAGGCAGTAAGCTAGGATAATTGTAGGGCTTACCTTGTTTCCTCTCCCTTGGGGATCGCGGAACTGCCCTGATGCCCAGGGTCTAAAAACCACTGTTTCATATACTCTATCTGAAATTTTAATTGTTCCAGGCAGGAGGGTAAATCTGGTCTTTGTTACTCCATCTTTGCTAAAGAAGAAAGTTTCACACCTAATTTTAGTTTTGAGAACTGGAACAAGCATGGAGTGAAATGAATGCAATTTACCTGAGCAGAAAATCTTTATCCTGTAGCATAAAGCAATATAAGAGGAAAAGTATCACTTTTATTTTGGTGAAAAACAACCTATTTTTTTTTTTAATGTCCTTCAGTTTTCTGGATATCATTTCTGGAGAGGAAAAAAAACCCAGCCAACTTTATTATCACATTACAGAACCCAGAATAAATAACATCTAATTCTTACTGACAGCTTTGTAGGAGCCACTAGCAAAAGGGAATGAAAATGAATGTTACTCAGTAAGTCAAATTAGCATTCCTGAAATAGGATGACTGTTAGATTATATAATGCTATCAATAATGAGATTTAACTTGAAGGCTTTAGTCATGAGATTCACAAATGACAAACCTGAAGGTCCTTTGCAGATATATATTAGAATGATATGGTCACATGTTTCATAAATGGGCTAATAGCAAAGATACTTCAAAAACCAACCTCACTATTCCCCTTGATTGCCTCATATAGGCCTTGAGCCCCAGGAATAGCTCTGGGAAAGGTGTTCACCCAGGGTCAGTGTACTCAGTGCTTTCTGGCTCCTACCCTGCTTGGTCCCTCAGGATCTTAACAGGAGCTTAGTTTGGGTCTTTCCTAAATACCCAGAAGCATATGACCCTGCTCCTTATTAAATAGGTCAAAACTCAACAAAAGTTTGTAGACACTAGGACCCTTAGAGTTGTTTTTCTTTGTTTTGGTTTTTTTTTTTCTTTATAGACATTGGAGAGGAAGTGGTCAGACTAGTTTATTTTTTCCCAATCAGAATGTTTACATGAGCCAGTCCTGCTAATGGCCAGAGAGCATAGCTTTATCTGCCACTGACCTTTGTAATCCCAGTTTGTTATAAGGGTTGGTGGTTGGAGGAAGCAGGGAGAAAATGTCGCTTTCTGACTTAAAAAATTTTGTATTTTCTGATATTTTGAGTTTTAGTCCAATTACACTGTACGCTGTTCCAAGCGCAACATTCGTGCTAGAGACAGAGTATTGCATGGCTCCAAGATGAGCACTGTGTTTATGAGTGAGCATCAGCGCCAGTGAAACGAGCAAACTGTACATCTCGACAGAATGCTCAAAGCAAAACAATAGCCAGATTGAGTCTTGGGAGGAAAAGCATAGAGAGAAATGTAGTTTCTCACTTCACCAAGTTGTGTGTGTGTGTGTGTGTGTGTGTGCGCGCGCGCGTGCGCACGCACGTGTGCATGTATGTGTGTGTGTTGGTGAGCTAAATGAATGTGGCAGCCAGTGGCCGTGACTAGTGAACAGAGAGGTTATTGGTACATTGTCCCCCATCCCAGCAGGCCTCCTGCTGGTTCTTTCCTTTTCCTCATGGCACAGCTCCTCCAGTTTGCCCAGGATGGAAACCTCAGCTTCTGCTCTTTTCCTCGCTCCAAATAGCAGACCGGGGGTCTCTCAGATTGTGTCTGCAGGCATCACCCTTCTTCCTCTCCAAAGCCACCCTGGTCTTACCTGGACCATCGAGGCAGCATGTCCACCCCCCGGCCCCTAGCCTCCACTCTCCACACCCTTCCTCACCCTAGTCTGCAAATTGCTACCATGATGATCTTTCTGGAGCCCAGTTCCGCTCGCCGTGAATGGGGCTCCTCTCTTCAGAAGTTATAGTAGATTTGGAAACAATCCCAGGTCATCATGGGTGGGTGGTGAAGGGCCTCCCCTCCGCTTTGCTAAACTTGTTTCTCGTGACCCCCCTCCTGAGAACCTCAGGCTTCAGCATCAACTGAATCCCTCCCACCTCCACCTCCCTCTGCACTCCGCCACCTGTGGACCTCGCTTCCTGGAGTGTGCCCTTGTATTTGTGGCTAGGGCTGCTGGGACGGTCCCACGGCCTAGGCAGCTGAAACACAGAAACTTCTTACCCCACAGTTCTGGAAGCCAGAAGTCCGAGCTTAAGGGGTCAGCAGAGTTGTTCCTTTTGAGGGCTCTGAGGGAGAACCTGTTCCATCCTCCCCCAAACTCACTTTGGGGATTGGTGGGCAATCTTTGGCATTCTCTGGCTTGTAGACCTCTGCCTTCATCTTTGCATGGGGCTCTGCCGGTGGGTGGGCCTGTGTCCAGATTTTCCCCTTTCCCTAAGAGCATCAGTCATATTGGATGAGGGGCCCACCCTGCCGTAGAATGACCTCATCTTAACTCATTACATCTGCATCGATCCCTCTTCCAAATAAGGTCACATTCTGAGGCAGTGTGGGTAGGGACTACAGCATCTGTCTGGGGAGGGCACAGTTGAGTGCATGGCCACTGTACTCCTCTACTGAACAGGAGTAGAGGGTTGGAAAGAACGCAGAGTGGAGAGACGCATATTCGGGTGTTAGAGATCGGAGCAGTGCCGTGTCTAGCCTTTCCAAACATACCAGAACCAGCACACCCCCTGCCCCATTTAAACCCACCAATCAGAGAGCTGTGGAGCACCCTCTGGGAAACACTATTCTGTCCCAGACTTCCGGATTTACGTGACCTTACAGTCCAGAGGGCTGAACCATGGCTGAGAGACCAGAGCAGGGAGAGGAGAGCCACTGCTGGAGGCCCTTGGGCTGGACATCCTGTGAGCTCCAAGGAAGGACACAGCAAAGGGGGTCGGGTGGACCAGAGGGGCCGGAGGAGGGCAAGGCCCCCACAGGCCTGCAGTTTGAGATCCTTGCTCCCTGCGGGAGTGGGGACCCTCTGCTTGCCTGCCTGCGTCCACACCTCTGGTCCAAGTCCCTCTTGCTGTCCCCCACCTTCCAGATCAGAGCCAGGTGACCTCGGGGCATGCTTTTTTATACCGCTGAAGGTTTTCAGCCACCTCCCAGGGAGATTTCCTTAACAACTCCTGGCAAATAGAGTCACCGTCCTACTTGGGGGACTCAAGTTTAGAGATCCTCGTGGAGGAAATGCTGTTTCAAGAAAGTGAGGATTTAATTAAATAAATACACATTTCATTTCCCGTGTGTGGTAGCTTTCAAGAGACAATCAGTCATTTACTCTAGAGCATGTGTTCCGGGCACTCTCAGGGGCACTCATTAACCTCCCAGTGCCACTGGCTCAGCAGGGTCTGGCCTCAGAAAGATGTTTTTCCGATAATGGATAACTCCGCAGCAGGGGCCCATCCCTTTGGTGATGTTACAGGGTTTCTGTGTGCCCAGCGTTCCCGAGCGGTAGCCGAAGCTGCTGGGGGCAGGGATGGAGAATTCGAATAACACGGCTTCTGTGTTTCTCCACACAGCTGATACCTATGTGGTTGCCAATGATTCAGTCAAATATCAAGGTAAGTCATCCCTGGGTGGACCAGAAGTTCAGTTCCCTGCAGACAAGGTCAGGCCGTGAACAGGGCTCCCTGACGCTCCACTTGCTGTGGAGAAAGGTGAATTCACCCTGCTCCCGGCCTCAGGGGGCTGGCACGGCACGGGCTCTGTGGGCCAGGGAACGGGCATGCAGGCCGAGGGGACAGCGGGAGCCACGGTCGTACTATCCACTGTGGATGAGGGTGTGCGTGGAGGGGGGACCCGAGTCTGAGCGAGGCTCGCTTCCTGACTAGAATGCAGGCCTGTCCCACCTTCCGAGGACACCCCCGTGCATCTGAGCCCAGGCATGTTCAGTGCTCTCTCCTGGTCACTGAAATAGACTTTCCGTGGGGCCCCCAGCTGGCTCGGTCGATAGACTATGCGACTTCATCTCAGGGTCGTGAGTTCAAGCCCCATGCTGGAGGTCAAATAAATTAAATAAACTTTAAAGAAAAATAAAATGGATTTTTTGTGACAGGAAGGATTCTATTAAGAAATGCTAACATTGAATGAATGACAGAACTGAGCCAGAAGGGAAGGGACCTGCCCCTCTTGTTCTACCTATGAGGAAACTTGGAATCAGTTATAAGAGTCACTTAGCTGGGGGCCCCACAGCCAGGAAGGAAAGACCCTGTCCAAGTGTCTTTCCCATCGCTAGGCCCCACCTTGAGTGACGCATCGTCATTGTTGGGCCGGACGTCCTCCATGACTAGTCGGGGTCCCCGGGGCCTGACAGGATGATGGCGGAGCTAGCCCCCTGCTCCACCCAGAACTGGGCTCTGTCTACGGCACTGGGAGCACAGGGCAAGCAGGGGGCAGAGATGCAAACCTTCTTGCTGGTTTTCTTCTCAGCATCAGGGAGGGATGTCAGTGGATAGAAGGAGGCTGACCTCAAGGTCCGCAGACACCAAGACAGAAGTGTAGCCATCAACACGGACTTTCAAGCTCTGAGTCAGGGATCATGGTGTTGGTGCCATTTGGGGCCACAGGTGGGGGTGCCTGCACTGCTGAAAACCTGTGAAAACGGTGGCTCGTTCCAGATTGCCCCTTGTCCCCCCCACTCCGCCTTCAGGAACCTTCAGGAAATCGAAACCCGAGGCCAACAGAGCTTACAACCTGGCCTCTTCTCAGGCAGTACTATGAGAACAGAGAGACCATAATCATGATTAAAATGCAAGGAAGAACTATTATGTGCCCACTTCTGTTCTAAACCCTCCATTAACTCACCCTTAAAGGAAAACCCCATGAGGTGTTACTGTCCCCAGTTTGCCCAGGAGAAAAGCCAAACAGATGGAAAAACCTTGTTCCCAGCATTGTCCACAGAGGAGCTCGGATCTGAGAGCTGGCGGCAGAGCCTGCGTGGTGACTGGCTCCTGGGGGATGGCACGCGCGCGTGTGTGTGTGTGTGTGTGTGTGTGTCTGCCCCCACCCAGCTTGTCAGCTTTACGTCCCCCTTGCAGCGAGTGGGTCGGGATGGGAATGGCATTAAGTGGATGGATCTGGGCCAGAGTGACTTTAGAGTCCCTGGCCCTGGCCCGTGTCCCCCGCCCTGTCCGCCGCCAGATGTGAGAGCTGGCCTCTGTGTTGAGGCCCGACGGCCCTGGAGCCTCACGGGAGGGCTCTGCCTGCAGGAGAAGCCCAGGCTGGTGCTCCGTTGGGTGGAGCCCGGACCGTCGAGGGAGAGAAACTAAACCCGCTGTCTTGCCCTTCCTCAACAGCACTTATCGGCAGGACTGCAGCTTCGCCTCCAGGCCATTCAGAACAACGTGAACCACCACAGCCTAAGGACACTGCCCGGCTCGGCCCCGAGCAGCGCGGGCCTCGTGGCCCTCCGCAAGTGGCTCCAGTGTACCCAGTTCAAAATGGCCCAGGTGGAGATCCAGTCTTCGGACGCGGCCTCTCAGTTTTATCCTCTATGAGCGGACTCCTCGGCTCTCAGTGTCAACACTCTGGTTTAGCAATAATGGGTTTCAAAAAAAACAAAACAATTTGATCCAAGCAGGTTGGGGAACATATCGGTACTGTACATTCTCTTTCTAGTTTAGTAAAAAAAAAAAAAAAAAAAAAAGACGTGCAAAGGCCGGAGAGGGCCAAAAAAATGAAGCTTTCTTGCTACACATCTTTCTGATGACTCCTTGGGCTATATCTGATTAAGTGTTTCCTTACATTATTTTTTAAGAAACCAAATCATTTTTCTTTAACTAACTTCTATTTTTTTTAAAAAAAAAAAAAAAAAACAACAGACTGGTGGGTACTCACAGAAAAGTTGTATAAGTCCCCCGTTGCTATTTTTGATGATAGAGAATAAATAGGGTTTTTGAAACCTTTGTAGTGTTTTTTCTTAAAATCCACTCTTGGCAATGCAATAAAAAAAAAAAAAAACCCGTCACCATAAGCCAGTGACACTTGACTGAAGCTTTTTTGTCATTATCCTGGGAAAAGTGGCAGGTTGCAAGGACCATTACAAAGTGCACTTAGAAATTAGGTGGTTAAACTGTGCCAATTGTTTTTTCTTTGTTTTATAATATCATTTTCCAAAACTGTCCAGTAAGTTTTATTATTTTTAAAACTAATTTTTCAACTCATTCGTTCTAGGCTGTACTTTCTTGTAAGCTTAATGAGAACCACTTTAGTTTTGTGAATAATAAATTTTATTCTTTTGTTAACACTTGTATACAATTCAATTTAGAACTGTAGATTGCGTACTGGACCAGACGACCCCCCACGCTGGCACAGAGCACTGCACCTGGAGTTATGTTTCATAAAACGGGATTTTAATAGTGTAAGAGCACCAAGATTTATCAGCACTTCTACTTAGCATTTGACTGTGCATTCACAAATCATACTTCTCTATCCTGTAATGCACTGACGACAAGAAGACTTACTATACATTTAAGCTGTATATTGACATGCTATTAAATGCACTTTTTTATTATCTTTGTGAGCCTGGGGTTTTTTAAAAATCAGTTTACACGTGGCTTGTAAATTTTAAAACTTCTAACTTCCTTGAAAACTAGAGTACAGTTATTGAAAGAAAAAGGCTTTCTTTCGGGTCATCTGGTAAGAGAGAGACACAATTTATTTGAGGTCTGTTCTCCAGGAAGGACCTTGAGGACTTGAGGCAATGTTCTTTCTTTCTTTCTTTTTTTATGTTGGTTATTATGAAGAGGACTCTTTTCTGCTGGGAAATCTGATATCTTCATGCTTCTCAGGGGAAAACAAGTCCTCAAATGTTTGTTTCACGGGAGTTCTAGAACGTCTGGGTGGTAGAGCTTCACCCCTATGAGAACTTGTGGAGAACCAGTCGGTCCCCAGATGAAGGATGTAGAAATGATCATTCTTCCTGTTTGATGTAGGAGCTCTTCCGACAGGCCTCCCGCTGGCTAGGACGCTCCCCGTTGTGCTTGGTTAGGCCTCCATCAACATTCTGACTTCTATAAAAGTTGTGTGTGTCTTTATCTCACTTGTAAACTGTGACAGCTTAGAGGTTATGTCCTGTCTCCGTATCCCCAGGGTCTGGCACTCACCACCAGTTTAATTAACGTCTCTTGAACGGAATGGATTTGATTAAGTAACAGGTCTTCCTGAGCTCTCCAGGGGGCTCAGTAAGGGCTGAACTGTGACATTTTCTTTTGGAGCAGCGATTCCTGGAGGGGGTAGTAGAAAACAGGCCAGGGGTGGAGGCGTCGGCTTTTTTCCGTGTGGGGGGTTTGATGACACCGCTCTTCATTCATCCTGAGTTCTGCTGCAGGCAGCCCCGTCCTACCAGTAGATAGACAAGGTCCGAAGTCCTCCACAGGCTCTTCTCCAACCCCGGCTCTTTCAACGGACTGCTTCCTCAGTTTCTCTTTATATTTGTATCCCCCCCCAAAGGGCTGGAGAGGACCCCTCAACTCAGCCCTCTTATCTGGTCCTCCGAATGTTTCCTTTACTCCAGTCACAATCTGGGGTCTTGGCCAGACCCAGGCAGGTCTGTTTCCTTGCCCCTGAGAACTGTGACCCGTTGTCCTGCCAAGCGGACCCAAGTACTGTCTCTGCTGGGACCCTGCCACTTCCCTGCTTTATCCAGACCAGTACGCTTCTTCTCTGGCCTACACTGTCCTCCGGCCCATCCCCCAGGGTGGTCGTCTTCTTCTGGCCTGTGTCACCCACCCTCTCCATCCCCCAGCAAGTCAGACTCAGACTCTTAGAAGAAGAGTTAGGACAAGCGGGGACAGATGGCAGTTGAGCAGGATTGGCCCTCATGAATCAGAGGAGAAGCCATTCACCTAGATCAGGGGTCAGCCCACTGGTTTTCGTAAGGTTTTATCAGAACCGGCCACACCCACCATGTACATGGGGTCTGTGCTACAAAGGCAGAGTGAAAGAGCCGGGATGAGATGTGTGGTTCTGAAGCCCGAAACCATTGACCATCTGCCCCTTTACGGAAAAAGTCTGCCAACCCCTGGCCTGGTTGACGGCCACAGAGGGAAACCACGTCGAACCCTCACGTGGCCATAGCTTTCTGCCACCTCAGAGCTTTTGAAATTTCACTAATACTTCATCAGTACAGTGGGGACAAGGACGCATTTGACTTCATAGGGTTGTTGAGGTGATAAAAGAATGCGAGGAAAGAGCGATGCCTGGAGCATGGTAAGCAGGGCAAGTGATGACTTCCTATTCTTCTTCATGTGTTAAAGCCTAGGAGGTAAATCTACTTGCCCAAGGTCACTCGGCTAGTGAGAGGCAGTGTTGGAAGTTGACCACAGGCCATCTGACCCCAACGACTCTGCTCTCAACCAGTGCCCGCCACAGCCCAGCCCCACGTGGCAGCCTGATGGCAGCAGAGGACACAGAGACTCCAACAAATTTTGCCTGATCCAGAGATGCCCAGTACGGATCACTGACTTGGAGAAGGGCCAAGGCATAGGCTCAGTTCTCCCTTGGCTGCGGAATCCTACTGACTTCAGAGTGCAAACGGAACATTCTGAGATGCCCAAGGGGAGACTGAGCCCAAATCTGCAAATGTGTAGATTCTATGATTGTGTGCAATGGACATGCCTCTTACTAGCTGGGTGACCTTGGACAAGTTCTTAAACCTCTGGACATCTGCTTTTCCTTATCTGTAAATGGAGCTATCTACCCAGCCCCCGGGTGATGGAAAGCTCGCATGGGTGGAAGACTGTGAAGGCACTGGGAGACCGCCAGGAAGACCAGGGTCGCCTTAGGAAGACCACTCGGGGGGACGGCTCACAGCTGCAGACTCACCCGGTTTTTTTCTCCAGCTAGTCCCTCAGAAGCAAGACCTACAAGGCCATAGAGGCAAACATGATCGCGATAGCCAAGGATGGCCCGTCTTCACCATGCAGGATTCCTCTCTTTGCAACCCTGTCCTTCTGCCCATCACCAGGATGTTTTCACCAAATCTCTTCCCAGAGGTTTCATCTGAGGTCAAGTGCTTGCAACAACTCCATTTTGAAGCTACCACAGACCAAAAAAGGATTGGATCAGACCGGAGAAGATAGGTTATCCACCAAGACTTTCTCCTGAGCTGGGGCTGAAGGGCTTCTGGGGATAACTGGACAGCGCAGATCATGTCGCATTACTCCTTTAGTAGAATTAATTTGCAAATGTGTATATTGGGCAGATGGAGTGTTTTGACAGTAATGGAAGTGGTTGGAGCTCAGTGGACTAGTACCAGACTGTGTTTTCGTAAGAGCTGATCCCTTTGGGAGATGGCTGAAGTCTTATTCATAAAAGGCTGGTTGGTTTATTCCACTGACAGGACCGACATGCAGGAAGCCTCTTGAAGAGGGCTCAAGAGAAGTCCGGAAGCCATCATGGAGCCATGATGGAGCCATCATGGATTGAGTGTCTACTAAGTCCTGAGTACTTTACACAGGTTTCCCTTTCTCCTCATGGCGCCCCCTACATTGTGATTCCCATTTTGCAGATGGGGCCACTGAGGCCCAGAGGTTATATGACTTCTCCAACGTCATGCAACTGACTATACTAGCATTAGGACCAAACGGCATCTGACTTCTCGTCAGCGCTCCCCTGAATAAAGGTTAATGTCTCTTTGCTTTTTCTGGGCTCTTTGGGCTGACATGGGCCAAGAGTGTGGGGTGGAGAAGTCTGAGGGCTTCCTTGGGAGCAGCTGTATCTTGATGTTTCTGTTTACTGATCATTTATCATAAATTCCCATCAAGCCAGCATCACCTTCTGATAAGACATTTTCTCCTTTGCTTTGGGGAATTCATTTAGTTTTCCACTTAATATAATAGTTCTATGGTAAAGAATAAAAATGTATGAATTGAAGAGCATGGTGCTGAATCGTTAGATTGGGGGTCTGCTGGGAGCTGGCTCAGCCCTGCAGACACTCATCTCCAGGTCGTCGTAACCTTCGCTGCAGGGTTACAGGAGGGCTGCAAGTAGAGCCTCTCATCTCATCGTCACAAAGTGATGGGAGGAAGGCACTTCCGTTATCAGCCCCATGTTACAGATGAGGAAACCGAGGCACAGAGAGACAATACTTAACAAAAGTCACTCAGTAAGAGGTAGAACAAAATACCTCCAAAACCCCTAGTCCCTTCTAATACATAATCGGGGAGTTAATGACAGGTAGAGTCTTTTGCTACTCACCTGATGGACAAGGTAGAATACTGTGGACCCGAAGTCACCACCTGGCAGACCTTGGCCTACTGGTTGACCTTGGCCTACTGGTTGACCTTGGCCAACTGGTTGACCTTGGCCCACTGGTTGACCTTGGCCTACTGGTTGACCTTGGCCTACTGGTTGACCTTGGCATTGGATAAGCTTCAACTTTCATTTCTCGTTTTGGTTTGAAATCTCCGTGATGGCGCACACAGGTCCCACTACTGATCTCCGCCTCCCAAGCAGGAAGACCCCAAAATCCTTTCGGCAAAATCCTGTTGCCTCTACGTTCATCGGCAAGGCCTTGCTGGCTTCCCACATTCAACTGCCGGGCAAGCGTGGGAGTTTGCCACCCGGTTAAGACTGACCTCCCGTTTTTCGGGCTCCATCTGCAAGCCAGCAGTGAAGTAGGACTTGGGGCTGTTTTCTCAGCCC